TATTAGTCTCTGTTATATAAAATGTTTTTTATAAATTCTTCTTGTCCCTTTAAACATATTAGATGCTTAATGTTGTTTCACAGTTGATTGAGACACTGTTCATTTTTTTCTCAATGGTGTTTTCTCTGTTTTTATGTTTGGATGATTCTTATAGTCATATCTTTAAATTCACTAATCCTTATTTTTTCAGTGGTATGTCATTCAATCTGCTATAAATCCTTTCTAATAAAATCTAATTACCTAATCAGATAGTTTAATGTTCAATTCCAAGATTCTCACTTGATGTGTGTGTGTGTGTGTACTAAATTTCTCTTGAAATTCCATTTTTGCCTAGCACATTTCCTTTTCTGTAAATTCTGTAACATACTCATCAAAATCCTTATCTACTAATTCTATCATGAGTAATTTAGAGTTCTGCCTTTATTGATTAGCATTTCCCTTGACTAGAATTTCACTGTTTCTTCAGACATAATTTTTTAAATGTTATATATGAGACATTGTGAACATGGTAGAGATTTTAGGTGCTTTATCTTCCTCTAAAAAGTGTTTTGTTCTGGTAGTCAGATCACCTTGAATTTGTGATGGCCTGATTTTATGACCTTATTAGAATTGATATCCTTTAGAATTTTTCTTAGTTTTAAGGCCAATCACTTAATTCTGGTAATCGCATTTCCCCCAAAAGTGTAACATTTAATGAGTTACACTCGATACTAATCACTCTAACTTGGCAAGACACAATCTCCAGATTGTTTCCCCCATGTAAATATCCTCCCATCTCTTTCAGTCTTCCAGTTAGTGTTTTCCTTCTGGATCCCTTGGAATCTCACCCATTTGTGCAGAATTCTTGAGTCAACCAAGATGTGAATGTAAATTATAAGCCACTTTAAGAGTTCCCCCTATTCTAAAGTTTTCTTTCCACCTGAATTTTCAATCACTTTAAAAATCTTAAGATCTCCTCTCAGTTCTAGCAAAACCACTACTCTACAGACTGGAAGTGCCTTCAGGGAAAAAGACATATAAAATGGCATCTCAATCAGTGAGGTTACCTATTTTAATTATCCTCTCAACTTTGTCTGATTTTGATCACACTCTTCAGTACCAACAGTTATGATTTTTAAAAATATGTGGCTTAAGCATATATCATTTGTGAGAGGATTATTTGAACACAAATTACTCTTACATTACTTTATATTTTGCTGTTCATATTTATGACTTACCTTTACCCTTTCACTTCTGAACTTCAATTTTAACACATATCCTCACTTAGGTCAAGTCAGATCCTCAATGGTCTATAAAAGAATCCTAACATGACCTTCTTTTGTTGTAAGTGTCCCTAGCATCTATTTCCCATGCAATAAAACAATCAGTTTTAAAACAGATCATGTTGCTTTCTAGCTTCTGTACTCAAGAGTTCACCAGACAAGGTTTTGTACATAATACCAGCTAAGTCAGGTTCAACTTTACCATGACTCTTTTTCCTACATTAGACATACTTACTTATCTAATTCGTTTCCTTCATTCAAACACCTGTGCATTGGCCTAATTCTCAGCTCCTTTGATTTTTACAGACTTCCTAGCATGTCTTCTGTTTGAGTCCATAGTAAGCCATATGTATTGGCTGGAACTGCTTCTCTTTGGTGAGGTTACTTATCAATAGGGTGACTTTATGTTTTCACTGTTGTTCTAATATTACAATATAAAAATGTCCTAAATAATAAACTAGTTGATCGATTTAATCATCAATTAACAACTCTTCTAACTCAGAATGCTTCTCTCACCATAGCAGAGAAGTGCTGTCCTCTGAAGATACTCCTTCTCTTCTAGCCTTCACAATTGGCGGCTGCTTTTTCTCCCACACCCCTCATACCTCAGTCTGGAGATGGAATGGCTCCGCTTTGATAGCATCATCACTTCCCAACAATGTCCTTTTTCCTTAAAAGTCTCAAACTCTTTGAAATGCATTATCTGACTTTACTATGTTTATTAACCTTGCTGACAATGCACGCCTATTAACTTCCAGTCAACCTCACTGATTGATGAAATCAAGCACTGATTTCTTTATCTCTCTAACACTATTATTATTCCTGGGGGACTTCCAGACCCAATAAATGATGCACCAGTTCTATAGCTTCTGATTATTTGAGTATCCTAGCTTGTTTTCCTGTTATATTTTAAATAAATTAATTGGCATACACTTTACACATTATACAATTT